TTTAATTGTAGCACACACATATGATGTAGAAAATATCTAACATGAAAACACAAAAAGCTCACCCACCAGCAATCACATTATATGCTAGTAACTTGACAGTTTTATATATTCCATATACTCCTCCCAGTGTTTTATATAGTTCATTTCTTTTTTCTACATGAAATATTTAATGTTATTGATGTTTTATATACAACTTGGTCTTATTTTTGGAAATCTTATTTTGAAGTTCCTATTTTTAAGCCTCACGATATTCTACCCAGCAGGCCTTCCCTAATCAGTGCAATCCCTGCTATAACGCTAGGTGTGGCTCTAACTTTGCACCAGTGTGCTTTCTTTATGGCTGTCACAGTAGACGCACAGTAGTAGAATCAGGTCATCAAAGGGTACCTCATTTATAAGTGCTGCCTACATTGCCAAATTAACTGCTATAAATCCTGGACCAATTTATCCTTATATCTGCAAAACATGTTTCCTCACAAGTACTGAGTGTTTATTTAAAAAACAAAACAAACAAACAAACAAACAAAACAAAACATTGCTTTGACTGTTAGAAAAAAAGAAAACATACATTTTCTCCCTTATGTCACTGGCCACTAATATTATGTTTTTCTTCTAGGAAATGCCTGCCGAAGCTAATTATTGCTCTATGTAATACTGACTCACAGTGTCATTTTTATTAGAGCATGAAAAGTTTTCTTGGAATATTAGCCCTCTGTTATCCACAAGTTTTTCCAGACTCGCCTGTCATTTAATTTTGTTGCGATGTTCATGCTGGTAAGGTTTCCTCTGAAGTGCAGAGGCAAGCCTAAGCCACTGGGCCAACTGGGCCCTGCTCATTTGGTGGTTTCTTGCCCGGCTTCTGGGCCGTGAAGGCCTTTTCCCGTTCTGTGGAAATGAGACATTCATGTATGTTCTCACGCTTTTCAATGTTTTCTTTAAAACAATCCCACGAATAGCTGGTCTTGTCTTTGGTTTGGAGTGAAGTGGAAAGAGGAGCAAGATATGTTTTTATCCCCTGGCCGGTGCATTTCCCTAATACTATTTTCTCAAACAGTCTTCCTATTTGATGGTTAAGCTATTGTAGGCCACATGTCGGAACGTTTTATAAAACCAGGGCTTGTTTCTGGCTATGAATTTTGGTATTCTCATCTGACTACTCTCTCTTTTTTTTTTTTTTTTTTTTTTTTTTTTTTTTTTGCATAACTGGGGATTGAACTCAGACCCTTGTGTTTGCCAGGGAAGCACTTATTCTACTGAGCCATCTCCCCGGCTCCTGACTACTCTTGATTCTTCACTTAGCATCAATTAAAAAACTTAATTCTCTAGGTTTCTGGCCATAGAAAATTAGGAACTGTGAACACAAGCAAACTGCAAACAGCGTGACATGAGACCAACAGTCCTGTTTGAGGAAGGAACCAGAAACACTGGCTATAAAAACAGCAGTACAGAGCCTCAGAGCCAGAGCTGGAGTGGGAACAACAGCGCTGACCGTGGCACCCTCCCGGAGGCCACGCTGAGCAGCTGAGGTCCCTAACGGTAACCCTCTGCATTAAAGGAAAGGTGCGGTCAGGTTCAGCACGCTGTTTAATATGAAATCCATATGTAATATATTAACTTATTTACGCTAAAACAATTGAAATAGGATGTTTTATTGTATAAAATGTAGGAACCTTACATTTACCTAAGAATCTTAATAAGAATAAGAACCTTATGAATTCTGGGCCATTCTACCTGAGCATTAGGTTTAAACCTACTATAACTGCTACAGGGCACTTGTCTCATTGATTTTTTTTTTTTTTTTCATTAAACAACCCATGTCCTGGAAGTGTCTGACAGCAGACACCCTGCTCAGAGTCAGACACAAAGCCTGCCTTTGAGCACTCGCATGCGGGGAGGGGGGCATAGCACGTCATCTGTAACCAGCGACATGCCCAGGGGGTATTACTGTACTTCTTACTGCAATAGAGTGAGGCAGAATGGAGCTGATTGTTCGTTGTGGTTAACAGGCACATTTATTAAAAAAGCATAGACCCACAATTTACTTGCAAACAATTTGCTTCCAGTACTGTTAGGTGCTACGTGACAAGTGCATGAGACCCGCGCCGGGCGGGCTGCGTGGTGCCCACCATGGTGGGACAGGCAGGCTCACCAGTGTGGGGGCTTGCAGGGTCGGAGGCACGCATGTATCTGGGTGTGTCCTCCTCCAGCAGGCGGTGCGTCACGAGCCCCGTGCAGCTCTGCAGGAGGACCGGCTGGGTGTCATTTTCAATTCCTTCCAAGCGCCTGGCAATCCTCTCCTTCCTGTGCAGCGAAAGGCGCAGTGAGGCACAGAAAGGAACGAGAAGGGACGAGAAAGCACCTTGTTGCTGTGCCACACCCTTCCTAGGGCCACACTAGGAGTGTCTTACCTTTTCATTTCTAAAAATCCTTTTTTCTTTGGTTCAAAGAGCTTTCTTAATTCTGCAACTAAAACAAACAAAAAGAGCAAAAGGAAAATAGTTACTAGTTAGGTTTTCATTCATTCATGCACCACTGGTGTGCTGGACATATCATTCTGTTCTCTGTTTCCAGGGAACACTGTATACTACACCAACAGGGTTCCTGTCTTCTTGGAGTTTGTTCTCTACCATGGGAGGCAGGCACCAATGAACAGGGGTGCACGCAAAGAGCCACACACAGACATCTGCACTCACATGTCACGTGTCGAGCTGTGGAGTGAGCTCGCCGGGCAAGGGAAGGGTTCTGCTGCACCCTGGGAGTCAAAGGAGCCCTGGCTGGCAAGTTTTCTCTTGAAAGATGTTTTTAGCAGAAATCTAAATTCTATCTGCTTTTAATTTTTGCTACGATTAACAAAGTATTCTAAGCTCTTACTCCAGAAAATGTTTACAAACCTAGAGACTTAGGACTCTGGAGCCCACAGGACATTGTGAACTCCTGGCCACTCCTATGTCACTTATCATTTAAGATGCAAATATCTGCATCTAAATGACTGTGTTTTGAAGGTAGGTGTTCATCAGAGACACTGTTTAAATGAGCTTTGCATCGACCTGGTTTCTAAGCTTCTTCTCACAGGCTTTCCTGCCAGGACACGTTCCTATAGGTTTCCTTGTTATCCTTTCAGCGGAAAGTAGGTTGTGCTGGAATTGACAACTCAGTTCTTCTGGCAGCACTGGAGAAGCAGAAGATGTTTTACTGAGGTTAGGAGATGCCTGGTCACTGCTTCTATGGAAGGTGGCCAGAGTTGGTGGGGAACAGAGGTCTTTTCTCTCCTCCTCCGGAGCTGCATTTATTCCTAAGGTCCTCAGAGCAGCTCCTGCTGAAGGGATGGAATGGAGGGAGAGGAAGGCAGGATCTACAGGGCCAAAACCATTCTGAAGTACTGAGGCAGAGGAGGAATGCCAAGAAGAGTGTGAAAATGTAGAGTTCAATTTTCAACTGCTTCAGCTTAAGTGGTTACTTTTAGTAATGAATCAAAATCACACGATTTTTATAATGCTTTTTGTATCCAGTGCTATAATCCCTTTCATTTTATTTTTAAATAAGAAACACCTTATAACATTAAGGTTTTAGTTGAATTACCTTTTGTTAAGGTACCTGGTTTTAAAAAGTCTAGTCCACATACTTGGGGGACAAAGAAGGAAGATGGTAAATTTGAGGTCAGTCTGCAGAGTCGAGTGAGACCCTGTCTCCACACATCTGTAATCCCAACAAAATGGGTGGCTGAGTCAACACTGTGGCTTTGAGCCAGCCTGAGCAACTAACTTACGGACTCAAGACAGACCCTGTCTCAAAATTAAAAAGAAGAATAGGGGGATATACTTCAGTGTGAAGGCCCTAGGTTCAATCCTCAGTACTAGCAACAAACAAACATATTTTAAAAGGGCTGGGACTGCAGCTCAGGGGCACAGCACAGGGAAGACTGCATTCTACCCCTAGCACGGTAAAAAAAAAAAAAAAACCCTCTCCCTGGCTTCCGAAGTCTCTCCGTTTGCCTCCCCAGGAGTCAGGGCGGCCACAGGTAGAGGTGTGTCTGCCTGTAGGGCTCACTGCCTTTCTACTTGGGAGATGGGGCAGAGAGATCCTGGGCATGCATTCTACCACCCTGCCTTTCCTGACCAGCCTGGCTGATTACAGTTTCCCAGTCAATGAAGTTAGCTTGGGTGAGAAGACAGGGCACAAACTTTGCTACTGAGTAGTACTTGCTTTATTTTTATTTTTATTTTTTTTGTATTTTAGGGAATGGCCTACAGGGTCTATCGAGTCTCATTTCATAGATCATACTTGTAGTGATCCTCCTGTTTACAGCCTCCTAAGGGCTGGGATTACAGGCATGTGCCACCATGCCCAGTCTCAATTGCCATCTCAGCGTGCCCTGGTGGTAGGGCCGGCATGTTAGGCCCAAGGATTGAACCCCTGACCCCTACGCCTGCTTGCAGGTGCTTTAATCTGCTGAGCTATTTGGCCGGCCCTAGTACTTGTTTTAAAATATTTTCAATGTTGACATAGACCAAGGAGTTTTGAGTAATTATTTAATCCCCAAAGAGAAGAACAGTACTGTCTTTCTCATAAGACTATTCAAGAAATCTGACTCTGAAAGGTACATCTTCAACCCCTGCCTCCAATTCATAACTGAGACATAGGATAGTATTAACAGGGTCTTGAATAGCATAATGGCAGTTAAACTTTTCTTCCCCCAAATTATTTCAATTGGATACACGTAAAACACATTGACACACAGAATGTCAGAACTCCCACTGAGAAAAGTGAAGATATACTTTTTATGTTCTAGAGACTGTTGAAAACTGCTTTCTCTTCACTGTATTATGTTTAAGTTTTCTATAGACATTTATAAGTAAGATATTTGTTATGGTCTCTAGTTGCTCCCTCATGCAGTCATGGGGCAGACTTCTAGAGTTTGTCATTATTTCATGATCTAATGCTGGGATTGTGGGTGTGAGTGCCACACCTGGCCTGGGACAGACCGCCAGGATGCGGCCTGAGGAAGGGAGAGAGAGGCTTGCTCTCTGCCTCTGCTCTGCTGCTGCTTCTGCTCATTCATTTTTTTCTCTTGATGCGTTTGCTATTTTCCACCACCTTGAACTGCTGCCCTCTGCCATGTGCCGCTCTGCCTTGGAGCCAGCCGAGTATGGACTGAAACCTCCACAAACTGTGAGCTAAATGAACCTTTCCTTCCTTCATTCTGGGTGTCAGGCATTTTGTCCTAGCAACGAAGAGAAGAGCAACCGACACAATATTTTTAAGAGTCTAGCAGCATACTTAAAGGCTCAGTGACAACTTGCTTCCTGCCATTCTGTTTCCCATATTCTAGAAGGAAAGATCAACTAAACCACCACCATCAACAGCAATAGAAACCTTGCTTGGAGATCCTGTAAACTCCTCATCTACAACAAAAACTCTGCTTTGCCCACCACCAGTACTGTGACAGTGGCCAATCCCCCTGCAAGTTGTCTTTGGCAGGGTTACTCTCACTTTTCCTCTCTTTGCTGGCATAAATCCTAAACCCCTAAGTGATTAAGATGTTACTTGCTAGTCTTTCTTTAGAGGAACAGAACCCAAGATATCCGTTGGTGTTTAAGTAACACTAGAAGGTGTAAATTGCCTCTTTATTCTTTAGTTCAGGGAACCGATTAACACAAACCCTGGGAACCACTGTGGCGTTTAACTTGCAGCAAAGTAAAACGTTTGTAGCCAGTCCCAGCAGGTCAAGGTCAGTTATGATGCATAGCCAGAGGAAAAGAACAAAAGTGAGTATAGTCCCTGCTCTGGTGGAGGAAGACCCTGCTCAGCGTGTAGCCTTCCTGACTCTCTCATCTATCTCCTGTGCCTCCCTGCAGAGGCCTTTGGTGCACCTGAGCTCTCCAACAAGGTGTCTGGAGGATGGCATTCCCCTGCACTGGTACAGCCCTTGCAGAAACCTGATTTCCTTCTACCAACCCTCACCTCCCAAGCCCTGGCTTCCAAGGGTGAGCAGACAGACTTGGTCCAGCAAGATAAGAATCCTGTTTCAGTACTCTCTAAGGGCTTTGATTTCATGAATGGGGATCAGACAATGGTCCAAATCCTTGGTCGTCACAGAAGCTAAACCTCAACCTAGAGCAGTGAGAGCAAAGCGAGACATGGGGTAGGTCAGGTCCTCCTCTACAGGCCCCCCTGCCCCTTGCTGGACAGAACCGGCTGGGCACTATGCCGGTAAACACTGCCAATGGACAACCACTGACTTCTGGGCATTGGGAAAAAGTCTCAGGTCGGTCACATTTGATCAAGAGACACCAACTCAGAAGCCTGCTCTGGAATAGACCTCAGGTCACTACGAGGCACTGATGCACCTACGCATCATTTGAGCCCTGCACTGCAGCATACTGAGCAGCCCTGGTCATCCCAAGAAATGCTCCATCAGCCCCAGGACCGGTGACAAGAGTACTTCCATAATAACATAACATAGAAAAAAAAATGCCGCCACATTCCAATGCTTCTGAGGGATGGTCCTGGATCAAGAGCCATTGTTCCCACTAGAAAGGTATCAATTGGGTATCTATTCCCTGGATGTCTGTCACTTACCCAGGACACATCCCCTGCCCACTGCCACTCCTTTCTCTGTCACCCAGAGACTCCCAAGCTGTGCTCCACTTAGCAGCAAATGGGTGCCTGGGACCGCACTTCCTAAGTTCTCACTGATGGCTCCCCAAGGAATGGCGGAAGGCCACACATCATGCTTGAAAGGTACTGGAAAGCATGTTACTCCTCTGTGGAACTCTGTAGTGACTACCTAAGGAAACTTTCAAAGAATTCCTCCGCAAAGAGCAATGTGTTTTCCAGTTCCTACACACAAGAGGTTATACATAAGACACGATGGTACAGGATGATACAAGGATTTGAATCTACCTTCTTTTCTCCAAGCCCATAATTTAAAGGCAAAATCAGTAACACAAACATAACTGAAAGCACTTCAGTTAGGTAAGAAAGGCTGACACCTCATGGGAGTTGTTGAGATGTGCACATTTTTTCTTCCTCACCTTCATGTGGACTCTTATAGTTCCCATTACATCTTCTGGTTAAATTTTTGGTCAGATTTACTATAAACATTGAAAAAAAGCTAAATTACAAATCACAAATGGAAGTCAGTCCTGCTGTGGAAATCGGCATTATAAATCTATCGCTTGATGGCTAGAGAGTACTTTCACTCCTATCAGTTACTTTCTTGTCATCCTGGAAGTTTACTTAACATTTTTATGTAATTTCATTCATGTAGAAAATTTAGAAGATTCCTTTCATAATATATTAACATTTTTGCTACTTCTGGTATATTTTGTCCTTTTTGTCTCTCTCTCTTTTGATTTTATGTATTTGGTACAGGGTCTCACGATGCAGCTCAGACCCATAGTGATCCTCCTGTTTCAGCCTTCCCAGTGCTGGGATTACAGGCGTGCCCCACCATGACCAGTCTT